GACAGAGTCTTGCTTTTTTGCCCAGGCTGGAGTGCAATGGGGCAATCTCGGCTCACTGCAACCTCCACCTCCCAGGTTCAAGAGATTCCCCTGCCTCAGCCTCCCGAGTACCTGGGATTACAGGCGCCTGCCACCTGCCACACGTCCAGCTAATTTTTTTATTCTTAGTAGAGCTGGCGTTTCACTATGTTGGCCAGTCTCCAACTCCTTATTTCAGGTCATCCACCCACCTGAGCCTCCCAAAGCACTGGGATTATAGGCATGAGCCACCACACCTGGCTCTGTATTATTACTATTACTGTTGTCCTTATTGTCAATTTGTGAATGGGAACACATTGTTGACATTGTGAATGGGAGTTTCTGAATTGAGCAACTGCTGAGCGTCACATCCTAGAGACACAGCAGTGATTAGGACTACCAGACCCTGTCCCTGATCTTAGGGGGTTCTTGGTCATGGCGGCCGGGGTGCAGGTGCTCCTGCGAGGCAGCTTCGTGCAGGCTGATGAGGTGTGTGGGATGGTCTCCGGGCACTGAGGGGGCCCGGAAGCCAGTCTGGGAGGCGTTTCTGGAAGCCCTGCAAGTGGATGCCTCAGGGAGCGTGGGGCTGGGGAGGACACCCGGGAGAGAGGGCGTGCTGGGTGTTGGTCCCTGCCCCAGCCAGCCGACTGTGGCTGCAGGGGAAGAAGTTCCTCGGGGACCTGCAGCCGGACGGAAGGATCATGTGGCAGGAGACGGGGCAGGTCTTCAACTCACCCAGTGCCTGGGCCACCCACTGCAAGAAGCTGGTGAACCCTGCCAAGAAGTCGGGCTGTGGCTGGGCCTCTGTCAAGTACAAAGGCCAGAAACTGGACAAGTACAAAGCCACCTGGCTCCGGCTGCACCAGCTGCACACGCCTGCCGCCGCTGCTGATGAGGTACGTACGGCAGCCTCCTCCAGGAAGCCGCCCAGGTCACTGGGATGAGGGGTGCCCAGCCTGACACGGCTCTCCCAGAAGGGAGGTATTATAGTAATATATACAAACACGGATGAGGTGCTCATCATGTGACACGCTGCCTCCATCCCTCCAGGGCTGGGGTGGAGAGAGGAGACATGGGAGCTAGGGCTTTGATGGATGAGTAGCAGTTTGTCAGAGCAAGCTGAAGGGAAGAGCTTTTTAGTAGGATGGAATGGCGTGTGCAGTCACGTAGGCATGGGGAAAGGCATGCTGGGGTTGTGGGTGGCTGAGGGGCTGGAGATGTAGGCACGGACCGGAGGGGCCGGGTGAACTTGGCCAAGGATGCTTTGTGTGCCTTCGTTTTTTTTTTTTTTTTTTTTTTGGGACACAGGGTCTCTCTCTCTGGCCAGGCTGGAGTGCAGTGCCAGCCTCTCGGCCCGCTGCAACCTTCACCTCCTGGGCTCAAGCAGTTCTCCCCCCTCAGCCTCCCTTTAGCTGGCCTACAGACACAAACCACCACGCCTGGCTAACTTCTGGATTTTTAGTAGAGATGGGTTTCACCATGTTGCCTAGGCTGGTCTTGAACTCCTGGCCTCCAGCCGTCCTCCCACCTGGGTTTCCCAAAGTGTTGGGATTGCAGGTGTGAGCTACTGCACCGGCCAGTTTTTTTCCTTATGTAAAATGGAGCCTGTGTCTGAAATCCGTAGGGCAGGTGGGAAACAGGAGCAGATGCCATAGTCGTGAGGCAGAATTCTGTTGTTTTTTTTTTCTTCTGTTTTTGCTTTTATGGCCTTCAACTAACTGGATGAAGCCCACCCATGTATCAAGAGTAATGTCAAGGCCGGGCTCGGTGGCTCCCGCCTGCAATCCCAGCAGTTTGGGAGGCCGTAGCGGGCAGATCACTTGAGGTCAGGAGTTCAAGACCAGCATGGCCAACATGGTAGAACCCCATCTCTACTAAAAATACAAAAATCAGCTGGGTGTGGTGGCAGGCACCTGTAATCCCAGCTACTTGGGAGGCCGAGGCAGGAGAATTGCTTGAACCCAGGAGGCAGAGGTTGCGGTGAGCCAAGACTATGCTATTGCACTGCATCCTGGGTGACGGAGCAAAACTCTGTTTTTTTTTTTTTT